TTCTCTTTCCTTGTGTTTCTGAGAAGCCAGGCTGCCCTGCTACCCTGGCCAGGCTAAACTGTGAGTGCTGTCCCAGCAGCCTGTTACCAAGTGGGTGTTAGGGGACCCTTCCAGGCCCTATTGCAGAGGAACGAATGTCTGCAGTACCATCAGGAGAAGTATGGTGTAAATGGCCTGCTCTTTTAGGTTGTATCAGCCACATGCTGACTTTCCAATTGTCCCAAGAAATTTGCAGGGAGAGAATGGGCAGCAAGGGAATTATAACAGAGATGGGGCTACCCAGCAGTGCTGTTGATAGGATTGTCTCTTCTTCTTATGTATGTCACGTGACGTATGCTGGAACAGTCACTGTTTCTCTATCAAATAGCATCTCTTCAATTTCCTTTTCCTTCTTTTCCTCTTTTATGACAGTCAAAACCTGTGTATGCCAAAGCATGTGTCCTAGGTCATTCATTGCTCGGATGAGTCTAAAAGATATGTATCTAAAAGAGAACAGATAGCTGCTACCTCAGCCACCTTTAACCAGCTCTTCTTGATTCTCCCTGAAAGGCCAAAGTGTTTGCATGACAGCAGCTGCCTCAGTTCTGGGACAGTCTGTAGCCTTTAAGGTTAACAGTAGGCAGTTCTAACCTTTGGTTGCTTACAGCTTTAGTGATCCCTTTGTGTGTGGGATGTGTTTCCCAACTGCCTGTCCCATACTCCTGGTATAAAGACCACACAGTCAGAGATTGGAGAGCCCTTGTGTGTACTGCAGCTTCACCCCTGCAGCTGGGTCAGGGAGGGTTTGTGGTTTATGTGGTGGGGACTCAGCTTAGTTTGGCCTGTGTTAAGGCAGACATTATGCAGAGGCCAAGTCAGAGGTGATCCCTTCTGGAGGAGCCCAGAGGCTCAGCAGTTCACACACTGAGAGAAGGAATGCCCTGTGGTTCCTGCTAGAAGTGATTGATGGCTGCCTAGGGACAAAGCTTGATGCCCTTGGTGTCTGTCATACTGTTCTGGAAACAATTCTCATTATTTTTTTGTGGATTGTCTTTCTCTTCTGCTTTATCTACATACACTGGACTATGTTTGAATCTGTTGGTGGATGGCCATGCTCTGGAGCACCATTCAAGGTGTGCCTGGCTTTGGGTCCACATCTTCCTCCAAGCAAGCTCCAGGCTCAGCTTTCATCGTGCTCCTGCCCTTCTATTCTCTTTTAGCATTTGTCTTAGCAGATGCTGCTTCCCTGCCTGGCACTGGCGGTACCTCCAGTGTCTGTCTTGGACATCACCCAGTTAGGGTCATAAGTAAGCAGGAATGGATGGCGTTTTCCAGTTCAACCTTGTCTCCCTCGGTGTAATGAGGGGAGATCACCAATAGATGGCACTTGAACCTCTTCCCTGGCTGGTTTTTTTTTTCCCTCCAACCTCGGTATGCTCAGCCCAGTGTATGCACAGATGCAGCATGAGCATGTTGTGGCACAGTGTGTGTAAAAAGGAGACCAAAAAGCGATTCAGTGTGTAATAAAGGGGCAAGAAAATCCCCAGGTGACTTCAAAGGGTGAAAAAAGCATCTCTTTACTTTTCAGAAGGCTTGGCCAGGCCTGCCTAATGAGGCTTTCTGCACCCACACACATTCCTGTTCTTGCATCTGGCAGTGTTAGCCTTGGCAGAATACTGGGCAGGATAAACTGCAGAAAGCATTAGCTTGTCCTCTGAGCACAACAGAAAACACAGCTCAGAATCTGTGCATTAAATGAATCCTTACTACTGCCTGTCTCTCCATTACATTGTTTGCTCAGGATTCCCACAGAGGAATGTCTCCAAGGTAAAATAAGATGTGGCACAAGAGACATCCAGGGATGTCTTCCCCCTAGCAGCAGTGGGAAGGAACACGTGGAAGTGAATCAGTACCCTGCTTCAGCTCACAGTCCCCTGCCCTCTCCCTGTCACCTCAGTGCCATGTGTTCTTGCAGGGGAAACTTGCCACTTGCCTCCTTTCTGCTCCTGGTCTGGCCAAGAGGAACTTAAAGACTCCTTCAAGAAATGCTGGAGCAGGCATGTGGGTTTATCCTAAATGTTGTGTGCTGCATTTTTCATGCTTTTATCATGTGACCAGAGGAAACTTGAACTAGGTTTGAAATTTGGTTTGAATACAGTAGGCAGATCAAAATTCCAGGCGTGAGAAACCCACAGGAACCAAAACAAGAGCAGAGTGATCACATGAGATGCTTGGGAAGAGAAACCACTAAATTTTGCATAGCTCCAGCAGTTTGATCTAGTAACAGGCTAGCTTATAGTCTGGGCACATACAGCTGGGAGGTACCACTTCTATTCTTGGCTCTTCCACAGCTTTTCTCAGTGACTTTCAAAAAGTCAAGTAATGTTCTCTGACTTGGGTTTTTCTTTGGGAATAATACTATTACTTGTCCCTGGAAAATGTTTTGCTATCCTCACATAGAAGTTACACAGTAGTGTTCTGCAACCTGTATGTGGAGAAACAATGTCTCCAGACCTCTTAGGGAGCTTTCTTTCCACTATGTGATGCAGCAGTGTGACTTGTCATCTACTGGGAACACATTCAGCATATTGAGCCTCATCCTCAGAGCACAGATCACCTAAGAGAAAGGTTGTAGCTCTGCTTTCTTTGAGGGTTTCTTTTCCTCTGGGGGTCTGCTAAATTGCTTGTCACTGGCAGCAGCAGTGTGTCACCGTGCCTCATTCAGAGGAGATGCTGGATGCTGTGGATTGATGGAGAGATTGTGATCTGTCGATCAGTTGCTCCTGGCATTGCAGTTGTGGATGAAGAGAGAGGTCATGGTCACCAGTGTGAGGTGCAAGGTTAGCTGGGGAGGAACCTGAGGGTGAGTTTCTCCTGAGTCTGCTGGGACACAGAGATGCTCATGAATATAGAGTGTGAGAAAATACTGGGAGAAGGTGTCTATAACTAGATTTCCAATAGAACTAGATGTACCCAAAGTTGGTGCTCCTGGCTATTCTGGTCATATGAAATACAAAGCAAGAAAGAAACAGCTTCTCTGCAGGTTATTTGATGAAATGTGCAGGTAAAGGTTGCAGAAGCAGGATTTGTACTATTAGTTTCTCTCAAATTGCAAGTGCCCCCAAAAAGCCTCATCAGCACTTCTTTTTGCTGCTTGCCCTGAGAAGGCCTGGCCCTGCCACAGTTTAGGAGGCCTAGCATAAACCCCTCACCAGGCTGTGGTTCCCACTGCTGTCCTGTGGTGTAGTGGGGTGGGGTGAGCTCAGGTAGAACCTGTGATGTGTTACACTTGGGCTAGTAGGTTCTGCTCTTCACTGTTTCAGGGAGCTTTTTCAGCTTCATCTGTTCTGAAACAAACAACTAGGCCCTGGCATGTCCCTGTCCCAGTGCTTGAACTCTGAATGGGAAAGCAATCATACACAGTAGTTTAAGCTGACTGTGGTTTATGGGTTATATCTTACAGACCATTACAAGGACAGCCAGTGTCTCCAGAGCTGAAATAAGGAATGAATAATGGCTTGGAGAAGTTCACTTCATATATATTAAAAAAAAAAAAAAAAAAAAAGGAAACAATTATAAGAGAGTCTCAGTTGTTGGACTTTGAGATATGCACTGGTTATTGGTTAGGTCCCAGGAATAATTCTTATCTAGCATTAAATATATTGTTGTATATCTCTGGAGGATTTCTGGTTTCAGTTGGCATTTTACTCCCTCCTGTTGGATGCAGGATGCCAGACTAGTAATCTGCTCATGTGCACTATTCCCTGTTTGTTTTAATTCATGCAGTAGGAAAGGCAGAAGTACCTATAGCAATATGTGGTGGTTTAGAGTCATAAAGTTGGACTGTGATTTCAATTTGGTATGAACTGGGGGAAAAATAGGTGAAAACAAGTCCATGATGTGAATGCAGAACTCACAGAACATGTATGGTTTAACAGCTGAGACAGTGTCCTACTGCAGACATCTTCTAAGAAGACACTGTCTATAAAGCAAAAATTTTGTTTTCTGGCTCAGACTCTGCTTGTTTTACTCCTTCATGAAAAAAAACACTTCGCTAAGTGAAGCTGAACTGAGGCCCTTTCCCCCTGCAGCAAAGATGTGCTCTCTGTTTTCCACACTCACCACTTTAGGAGTGCTCTTTCCTTATCTTCTTACAGGCCTGCTGGCTGAGAACTGGGAGCCCACAGTCAACCAGCTTTTGCTCCTCTGGAATTTGTACAGAAGCACAGATCTCTGCAATGCTTTCTAGCTTGTCCCAGGAGAAAGGTTGGGACAGAAGGCTCTGCTGTCCTCAAGGGACCGGTAATGGGTAAAACGGACCTTTCACCTGGACACGGGGAGTTCATCGCTGGAACGGAGCCCTTTGTTGTTACTGCTGGCAAACATGTCGGCGGCTTCTTGTGGGTTCAGGGTGGCTGGGAGCCTATCAGTCAGTCCTTGATAATTTTCCTGACTATTTTGCCAGGGAGGTGATGGAGGACTGGCTCGGAAATGGGGCATCTTGCTTGTGTCCGAGGATAGCTGGTGCAGCAGGAGTTGGTGCAGCAGCGCCTGCGCTTCTGTGGGGAAAGGCTGTGGCGAGCTTCCCCGCTGCTGCAGACCCCACGCAAGTTCCCGGGACTTCAAGGGACTCCCGGGACTTCAAGTTCAAGGGACTCGGGACAGGACCCACGAGCCCTCCCTACGGATCTGTGCTCTGAATCGGAGAACAGGACAGATAGATCACGGCATCCCGTTTTGGGATCCCTGGATTGCGAGTCAGGATGGGGTAGCGCAGAGGCAGCTACTACTCCGCTACATCCCGAGCAGAGCCCGCCCAGGTCGGGGACTCAAGGAACGCCGGTGGCTGGGAAGGGCCGGTGACCCTTTAAGCGGAGTCCCCGCCCCGTCCCGCCCCGTCCCTCCACGTCGGGCCAGCGTGCTGCGCTGCTGCCGCGCCGCTTGTTACAAGTTTCCCGTGGCGGCGGTGCCGGAGGAGCCGTGGGGCAGCGGCAGCGGCAGCGGCGGGGCGCGATGCCCGATGCTCACCTGGGGCTGGCTGGGCGGGAACGCTGCCATGAGCGGAGCCCGGCACCTCGCCCAGGATGCTCTGCCGTCCCGCAGTGAGCACTCTGCGACGAGTGTCTCTTGTCCCCTGTAGCACGCTGCCAGCTGGTACCTCCCTCCTTTCTGAAGCGTAACTGGGGAGGGGGTGGAAGGCAGAGGAAGTTTGGTGATCAGTTTTTTTCTGTAGGCTTTGGAGAGGGATTCCCTTTGCCTCCCAGCGGGAAGGGCTGTAGGACAGGGTACGGTGGCGTAGGGAAGGGGGCACAGCTGGGAGCCGTGCCCTGCCGCCGTGTACCTGGGGTGCTGGATGCGAGCTCCGCGCAGCTCCGCCGAACGTAGGGGCAGCGGCGCGGCAGATGCGGATGCGTGCGTGTGTGTATGCTTAACCCTTTCTTGGCTCCTCGGATTTGTACCATGCTGAAGATCCTCACCAAAAAGCTCAGGAACCAGAGTTTGAACGAAATTCAGTCTTTCCAGCTAAAGGTAAGAAAAGCCGGCTTTGTCTCGGTTGTTTTTTATCCCCTTCAGGTGGCTACTAAGAGGGCCTTGAGAAGCTGGAAACTTGCAGTGTTTTTTATGCTGGGTCAGTTTCCTCTCAGCCAGTGTGCTCAGGAGGAACTGGCCTAGGCTGTATTTCCGTTACTTAAAGTCCCGTTCTGTTGCACTCAGAATTATCCTGCACAATTCAGATAATACAGAAAGGTGTATGAAGACAGGTGTATCTGTCTGTTATTTAGAATGTTTTCCTTTTGATGGGATTCATATTTAACTGTGTAGGCATTTGCCTAGATACCTTTGGACGTGTGCAATCTGTAGCCTCCCAGCCTTCTCCAGGCCAGAATCACACTGTGCTAGGTACTGTACAAACATGATTTACCTGAAATGTCTTTCAGCTCATTATTTGCATTTCTCTCTTGTGTGGTCCTGAAGGCCAGTTTGCAGGCTGGATCATTGCATTGACCCATGCCTTTCCAGATTCTTCTTACATCCTTTTTTAATATTTAAAATAAAACTGAGGACCACAGATTCAGGATAAGAACTGTCTAAGCACTTCCTGCCAAATATAAAGAGGAATTTTTGAGCCATGTACCACGGGATAAAAATGGAGCCATGACGAATGAGAAAAAAAATACCCAGTCCTGATTGGCAAAATCGTTGTGAACCAAGGGATACCCCCTGAAATCAGCAGTTACTCTGGATTAGCACCAGTACTGTGGGAAGTGTAGCACATGGCCCCAAATTAAAGAAGGGATCTGGGAAAAGTAGCAGCCCTCGTTGCCTGAGTTGGGGGCTGGGGATCTGTATATCAGACTCCAGTGGATTCTTTTGTATGTGTTACACAGAGGCTCATTGCCGTGTGGCTGCACTTCTGCGCAGTCACTCTGGACAGGCTGACGGCAGCTTTGATGAAACATCAGCACTGTTTCTAACAAAGTTTGCTGTACTTCCTTCGGGGATTGTACATTCTGTGGCTCTCAGGGGAGGCAGGGTTAGATTTTATTTTTGGAAGTAAAATAAGGGCAGTGCTTTAGGTTGTAGTGGATTGATTCAGTGCATACTATCTGCAGAGGCAGTGAGGGTTTATTTTAACAATGTTTCTGGGCCTTATGGTTGCAATCTCCTTTAGCTTTATTGTTTATCTCTTGGGGCTTCAGGTTGTGAAACTGTGAGAATCTTTGGAAGGAGCTCTCAGAGGCCTTCAGGATGCTTGGAAACATGCAGGAAAATGTGCATTGAGTGGGCATCTGCAGCCATTTTGTTCATGTTAGTGCCAAGGTTTTGTGCTCCAGTCAGGTGGTCTGCATTTTTGCAGGCTTAGTGGAGAAAGTTAAGCTTGCACTATGCCTTGCTTGCAAGGTTAATGTGTAGCCCATCAGGGCTGTCTTTGAAGCCTGCAGTGGGGAGTGCTACAATGACTGGTACACATGTGTATGGGCAGAACGCCAGACTTGTGACCTCTGGGTTTAAATCGGTTTTGTAGGCCTTTGGGGACCATGTGCAGCTGCCCTTGGTTGAACCTTGCAGCAGCATACTAATTGCTTAATGGAGTGTACAGTTCTCTGTCTTAGGTGTTGGACCAATGCTCCTTTCAGGTACGGACCCTGGGTAGGTGTCACAGGGGGTGAGCTGTGTGGAAGCTTCTGGTGGCTGTGCTGTGCATGGACTCTGTGTCAAGGCCACATGTCCTGTACCATTTTGCTCTACTGCCCTCATGATGTGGGGCTGCCAGGAATTGACCAGCCTTTGGCCTTATTGGCCTTGTCTGTGTCTATGCAGGTCTGTATGTATTCTGGCTTGTATGGTATATGCATTATTTAAAAGGTCCTGTGTGCTGTCATTGAAACTTAGTGAAAAGTTAGCTGAGAGCACAGAATCAGGTCTGTAGAGGTCTGTAGCCCTGTAAGTGAAGAATGAGCATCAAGGTTGGATAGAGTAAGAGTTGGTCTACATTCACTATGCAAACCAAGTGCTTTCTGAGCTTTACTAACAGAGTGCTTAGCTGCTCTTCTCCTTCATTGCCCACTCACTTTATCACTTTATGACCTTTTTGGGAAGTTCCCAAACTCAAGGAAAAGCAAGCTGCTGTTGTCCTTCTAGCTTACTGAAATTAGCCAAAGTCCAAGGAGATTGTCCTTGAGTGAATTGTCAACTCATTTTTACAAGTGTGGAAGATTAGACCAACTTTAGATTGGCATCCAAGCTTTGAGAATCTTCTCAGAATGAAATTTATGCCCACTGTAAAGGTTTTAATTTTGCATGATGTGTCCCAAATTGGTTTAGTGTGGCTGTGATAGGTCCTCCTAGTCTTTCCCCAGGTGGAGAAGCTGAGAGGATGCCATGGCCTTCTGTAAGAGAAACCACAAAATATGCATGCTTTGGGTGTTGATATAATGGACTTCTGTTTTTACATTCTAAAGCTGGTCTTTAGGGAGTTGACAACTAGGGCCACTCAGAGGACTTTGACTCAAGAGATGTGCTGGTATGTCTCAGAAAGTGTCCCTTTATTTCCCTTTCACCAGAAGTTACCATGGTGGGAAGGGAGGGACTGACTCTTCAACACTTCACTGTTGGGTTAGCCTGTTCAGACGGCAGTTTCTGATAAGGGTGGCTGGGCTGTCAAGTGTGATAGTTAGGGTTCAAATTTGAATGCCTTGCTTTGGAAGACAGCTGGCCTTGCTTCACAGAATCCCAGAATGGGTAAGATTGGAAGGGGTCACAGTGGATCATCTGTTCCAGGCTCCCTGCTCAAGCAGGGTCATACTAGAGCACATGGTACGGGATTGTGTCCAGACAGTTCTTGACTATCTCCAGTGAGGGAGACTCCACAACCTCTCTGGGCTTGGTCACACACAAAGTAAAGGAGCTCTTCCTTGTGTTCAGGTGGAACTTCCTGTGCATCTGTTCCTGCCTGTTGCCCCTTGTCCTATTGCTCAGCACCACTGAGAGGAGCCTGGCTCCATCTTCTTGACACGCCCTCTTTAAGTATTTATATACATTGATGAGATTCCCTCTCAGTTGCCTCTTTTTGAGACTGACCAGGCCCAGTTCCCTCAGTCTTTCCTGGTAAGAGAGATGTTCCAGTCCCTTAATCATCTTTGTTACCCTCCACTGGACCCACTCAGGAGCTCCGTGTCTCTCTTGTACTGAGGAGCCCAGAACACAGCACTCCAAGTGTATTTCACCAGGGCTGAATAGAGGGGCAGGATCACCTCCTTCAACCTGTCGGCAAAATGCTCTTCCTAATGCACCCCAGGATACCATCAGCCTCCTTGGCCACAGGGCACACTGCTGGCTCATGGATGGCTTGTTGTCCACCAGGAACCACAGGTCCTTCTCCACAGAGCTCCTTTCCAGCACCTGAGCCTGTGCCAGGTCCATGGGGTTATTCTTCCCCAGGTGCAGGAAGCATTTACCTCTGTTGAATTTCAGAAGGTTCATCTCTGCCCATCTCTCCAGCCTGTCCTTCTCAGGGGCTGCAGAGTCCTCTGGGGTATCAACCACTCCTCCCAGATTTGTGTTATCAGTGAACTTGCTGAGGAGGCATCTGCCCCTTCATCCAAGTCATTGACAAATGAGTTAAACAATATTGGGCCCAGTATTGAACCTTGGGGAATACACTAATGACAGGCCTTCAGCCAGACCGTGTGCCACTGGTTATGACCAACAGCCAATTCTCAGTCCACCTCACTGTCCACTCATCCAGTCTGCACTTCCTGAGTTTGCCTATGAGGATGTTATGAAAGACAGTGTTGAAAGTCTTGCTGAAGTCAGCACAGACAATGTCTACACTCTCCCTTTATCCAGCCAGGTAGTTGTTTCATTGAAGAAGGTAATTTGGTTTGTCAGGCATGCAATTGGTAAATTCATGCTGACTACTCCTTGTCATCCGTGTGGATAGACATGGCTTCCAGAATGAGGGGTTCCATTACATTTCTAGGTATTGAGGTGAGGCAGACTGGCTGGTAGTTCTCTGATTCCTAATTGTTGCCTTTTTTGAGGACCGGGATAACATTTGCTTTTTGCCATTGTCAGGCACCTCTCCTGATTGCCACAGCCTTTCAAAGATGATCATGAATGGCCTAGCTGTGGTATTTGCCAGCTTTCTCAACATCTGTGGAAGCATCTTATCAGGGCCTGTGAACTTGAGGATGTCAAGTTTTCCTATGTGTCTTTCCATTGGATACTTGTGCCCCTGTAGCAGGGTCAGCATGTTCGCTCCTGAGCTCTTGTAGTTGATAGCACAGCCTGTTAGCTTAAGAGCTTCAGCTCTTCAACCTTCAGCTTATGTGGCAAAATTCAAGAAAGGAGAGGGCATTGCCTAGTGCCTCAGTCTTTGGTCTACCTCTTGCTTCAATGGCCTGGTGTTATTTGCTAGAGATTAGGAATTTTTTCTATTTAGGAATATTTGCTACAGATTCAGGAACCTTTTTAACTGCTTCTGGCCAGAAGTGGATCTGGCTTTACAGGTTAGGGGTCATCTTTGGTAACAACTGGCAGCTGGCTCTGTTCCAGAGCAGATGACACAGGAGAAAAAAGTGAGATCAGGGAAGTGTATTCAGCTATATATTGTAGTGAAATGCTTCAAACCAGGAAAGTGAGAGGGGCCTGTAAGGCAAGGCCTAATTTTATTTTTCATGTTAGTTGTCCAATATTACAGTCTAGTGTAGTTTTTTTATTATTTTCTTTCACAGTTTTAGACTTGTAGCCCTGAGAAGCACTTTCTGAACTATTAAGTCAGGCTGATCAAGGAGCTTTTGAAATGCATATCTTGGGCTTGCATGTGGGTTTGTGATGGTGTACTGATATTGAGCCCTTAAAAGTGTTCTCTAACCAGCTTCATCGTCTTTCTGCAAATCATATGTCTTATTCATCCCCACTGTTTGGGGTAGGGGTCTCTCACACAAATGTGTTTCTTCCAAGTTTCTCTTTAAGTCTTGGGGCCTTGCTATTTATCTAGTGGCTAAAGTGTGAGTGTCTGTTTC